AGTGCACCTGTGTCATGCAGTGCCCACAGAGGTCAGAAGAAGGTGTCAGATTCCTCCGGAACTGGAGTTATGGATCATTGTTAACCACCATGTGGGTGCTGGGAATTGAACCCAGGTCCTCTGCAAGAGCAATTAGTGCTCTTAACCACTGAGCCATCTCTCCAGCCCCTATTTATTATTTTTTTAAGTGTATGAGTGTATTGCCTGCATATATGTAAGTGCACCTGTGTCGTGCAATGCACGAAGAGGTCAGAAACCCCTGGAACTGGAGTTACGAACAGTTGTTAGCCACCATATGGACCAAACCCAGGTCCTCTGCAAAAGCAGCTGGTGCTCTTAACTGCTGAGCCATCTCCCCAGCCCCTCAGCTACTTTTCTTATACAGCTCAGGCCCACTTGCCTAGATGTGGCACTGCCCACAGTGGGTTGGGCCCTCACACATCAATTGGCAATTGAGAAAATGTTTCACAGACATGGCCAGACTTCAGAATTGCTAATGGCAATTATTAATGACACTGAAGCTATACAATTCTTGCATTTGCTTTATTTATTTATTTATTTTTTTTGAGACAGGGTCTTATGTAGCCCAGGCTGGTCTGGAACTGGCTATATAGCTGAGGATGACGCTCTGCCTTTACTTCTCAAGTGCAGGGATTCAGGCATGCACCACCTCATCCAGTTTATAGGGTGCTGGGTATTGAACCGAAGGTTTTGGGAATGCTAGGCAAGCACTCTACCAGATAAGTCACAGATCCAGTACCTTCGCTGCACTTAAAAAAATTTTTTTTTGGCTGGGTGTGGTGGCACACGCCTTTAATCCCAGCACTGGAAGGCAGAGGCAGGTGGATCTTTGGAAGTTCAAGGCCAGCCTGGTCTACATAGCCAGTTCCAGGCCAGCTGGGGCTACAGAGAGAACCTGTCTCAAAAAGACCAAAACAACCACCCTTTTTTGATTTATGTTATTTTTTTAAAACTAAAAAATATTTTGTTTTTGTTTTATGTGTATACATATATTGCCTGCATGTATGTAAGTGTGCCCATCTGTGCAATGCCCATGGAGGACAGAAGAGGCTGTAGGATCCCCTAGAACTGGAGTTTTGGACAGTTGTTAGCTGCCATGTCGGTTCTGGGATTCAAATCCGAGTCTTCTGCAGGAACAGCCAGTGCTCTTAACCACTGGGCCATCTCTCCAGCCCCGATGAACATCTTCTACCAGAGTTATCCATAGGTATTTACGAGTTCTTCCCTTGTGATTTAATTATTTTTATTTTTTAAAAAAAGTATGTGTACTTGTGTGTCTATGGAGGTTAGGGTTATGCTCATGAGTGCAAGTGCCCACAGAGGCCAGAGAGGCATGAGATGTCCTGGAATAGGAGTTATGGACAATTGTGAACTGCCAGATATGGGTGCTAGGAACTGGACTCAGGTCCTCTGCAA